TACTACATGTAAATTACTTTAACAGACATGGGTAATTGCAATATGCCCAAAAATCCTAAAAATAGACAAAAAATCTGCTTCACTGATCTCTATCAATAAACTGTTTGATTGCATTGTCTTGTATGCTGTTAATTAAAACATAGAAAAGATTAAAGTGCTAAATGGAAAAAGATCAAAAGGTACTGAAAGAATTGCAACAAAGGTTGAAATGAACAACATTAAAAATGTACCAAATATTGATCAGAAATCGATATCATTTAAAGTCAGTCTGAATGGCAACAAGCTATGTAAAATCTGGAGTTCTGCATCAATAGTAAAATTTAAAAAAAAACTTTACAATGTTTCAAATGTTACAGTCCAGCTAGCTAGATAGATTGATTTTTTAATTTTCACCTGAAATTGTCTTTGAAAACGCATGTTTCAGTGTTGAATGACTGAAAACAAAATGAACAGGTAAAATGATATCAAGACTGACACTTTTCTGCTGTTGGAGAAGAAGCTGGCATTAACTGACTTGCTTGCCCTTTAATATGAGCGTACATACATTTAATGAGCAGGATTTGCAAGAAAGTTGTCTTCTTGTTAAATTGCTCTGTATTAATCCACTTATTGGGGATCAGTGGGTGACTTATTGTTTTCCCCCTGTTATTAATAAGAAAAACATCATCAAATGAGAAAAACTATGCCCCAATACATGTACATGTATATATACATTTTTGTACTTGTATAAATAAAAAGTTATATACTCGTATATATATATCTATTAGATTTTTACTTTCAAAATTTTGGGAGATGGGACCTTGGAGGGGTGTCATCCCACATTCCGGACAAAATAAAGTATTCTTTCCCAGATCCCTAAAATTAATTATTAATTCCTGAGTCCCGATAGGTGTAAATCCCGAATTCCCACGATAACAAAGACCCAATCCTGAATTCCCGCAAAAATAAAGGCCCATTACCCATGTCCCGAAAAAGGTCTTTTCACCTCTCAACTTGATTTTAAATACATGTACATGTACATGTACATGTACACGTATGTATTAACACAGTCTATTGGACCAATAAGGTCAGTTATAAGTTTAAACAATATTGATTTAAATTAATCATACTTAACAATTTAAAATAAATTCATAAAATAAATATTTATGATTCAGAAACAAGCTAAGTTACTTTTACAAAGCTTGATAAAAACATTCTAGACTGAAAAACAATGAATACATGTAAAGAACATGTGTATTTGTATTATGGCACCAAACAGTCTTAAATTTCTAGCACCTCATCTATTTCTTCTATCTAATAATAATTTAAGGTCTCTCAAACAATATATTACATCACATTTAATGCCTGGATTGACACAGTGAGATCATTACCATAAACCAATTAGTGTAATTGCAGTAATGATAAACACCCTATAGGAGAAACTTGCAGGGAATCACTATAAACCCAATCTAGAGATCAATGGTTTTATATCCCCTATCATGTAAATATTGACACAAGACAATTGACTTGTATTTCTAAATATTGACATTTCTGCCTGCTTATTATACCATAATTCTATAATTTATTGGTCTGTGGAAAGATAGACCTTGATCAAGTGCAATTTATTTGAAAAATTGTTAAAAATCCTGTTTAAAAAAATATTTTCACTTCCTCTTGCCAACCAACTCCTGTGGATTCATTTATTTTTGTGGACCTGTACCAATTTAGGTGGATTGAAGAAAATTTAAATTTTTCGTGGATATTTGATTTTTTGGTTTTGCTAAAGTCCATACAAGTATTTACATTGTAGGAAATTTTCACTTTGTTGCACATATATACAATGTATAAATTTGTGGTTCACGTTTACCCATAAAATCCACAAAAATTGGTATCCTATGAATATTAATGAATCCACAGTACCGGTACCAGATTTTTTAAAGCTTGGGTAAACTTATATTTTTCCAGGCAAATGAATTTTATAAAAGTGTCAATTTGTCAAAATTAAAGAAGACTTAAAACTGTCTACAGTCCATCCTCAAGGCACTTTATATCAATTAGCAATGAAACACCAGTGAACTGCAATATTATTGATTGATTGATTGTTGGTTGCTTAACATCCAGTGGCAAATATTTCATGCATATTCAGGACGAGAACAAATTTACAATAAATACAATAGGTAGGTTCTGTAATAGGGGCGTCCGGGATTAAGGTCGGAGAAATTTAGAGTGCCACGGGAAATGAGGGAATATTGGATAGGGACAGAAATTAAGCCTTGCAACAGGTCACCTACGGACCCCTCAAAAACTGCAATATTATGTTCATTTACAAATGTTAAGTAAACACAAAGAACAAATCAAGGAAATGTGGTATGATTGCCAATGAGACACCTATTCACCAGATACCAAATGATGAAGATGATAGCAAATATAGTTTACCGTACAGCCTTTTCAAAGGGCAAAGCTCATTCCGCATAGAAGCTATAAAAGGCCAGACCTAATAAAATGTGAAATAATTCTGATTCACTTAAAATTCTTTTTCGACAATTACAGTAAATGGTACTTATAGCCTGTGTTTCTCTCTGAATTCCTAAAATGTGTTACTGTGCATGTTCTATATCTGAAAATGGTCCTTCATCAGACATCTGACGGAGAGTAAGCGCTATAAGAGCATTAATGAAAAAGAAATCACAGTCAAGAGTATGGTTTCTACTGATCTCTTTGGCAAAAAATAAAATGAGAATGTGTCCATGGGACACAGATGATGCCCCCACTTGCTAATAACATTATAAAAGGGCATAACTCGAGAACGGTAAACGTGAGGCCAACCAATTTTGAATAATCATTGTGTATAAGTTTCATAACATTTGGTTGAGGCAAACTCAAGTTAGAGTTCTAATAGAAAGCAATTTTAGGATGTAAGATCAAGGGTATGTAACACTTAACATGCTTAATGCCCCCTGCAGTGTAGGCAGGGGCATAAAAAATCCCTGTCCAGTTTTAAGCAAAGAATAATCTAAATTTACACATTAGAATATTTTGGAACTACACTTCACTTCACTTCAGTATTTAAATGTCTCTATAAATATAGTACTGGTAATTTGTAGCCGCAATGTTAAAATTGTTATTTCCATGCATTATAAGTCATATAACCTATAAAAATCATAAATTCCCCTTTCTCTTCATTGGGCCATGTCATTTTAGCCCCTGAAGGAACAGTAGAAATTTCTAAATTGTTATTGGCCCAATCATTGCTAATCAAACTCTGTTTATTACCTTAAATCACCCTTTAGGAAAATAATACAGATGAAACTAGAATCTGAATCATATATATTTAGTTATGTTTTGTGAATAAAAAAAGATTAAGGTTCATAATCTGTCCTCCCAATCACTGGTTACTAAACTTTTGCTGTTTTCTATCAAATAAAACCATGTTATACCTTTAACTTCATTTGTACTACTCTGTTTACAATAATCTTTAAGCATGTTAAGTGAGAAATACAAGATGTACTTCTTATAAAACTCAATCAATTGAAACTTGATTAGTCTCTCTGGCACCAACTGCAAAATCGTCTTTTATCAAAGCTTGATTTTCTATCAATTATTCATATCTCACAAACATGGAATTACGCTGTAGAATCTCTTTACTATTAAGGCATGTTAAAATGACATTCTTTCCAATAAGACTTGCTTGCAATGAAGTACAAAATAATCATGTCTCATGAGAGAATTTTAAATACATTTTCTTGTATACTAAATTACATTGTACAGGTCTAAGAGGTTCTCATTTGGGAGATTTTGTGTTTAGAGCCCCAAATTTGAAATATTACATACACGTATACAAATACAATGCATGGTAAATATGTATGCATTGCCAATCACATTCAAATATGCACACATCTAGAGCTTTAAACAGATACATGTAGCAGCATGGTGCTATAGGAATAGATTTGATATATATTTTAACATGACTACTTAATCACCTGACTGTATTGTTTAATATGCACGGTCCCCTTTCACCAATTTTAGAAATTTAGGGTACAAGTATGGGGTATTCAGGTAAAGTTGACGGAAAAAGCATGAACACTCAATTTCTGTTTAATAAAATCAAGAAAATTGGGTTGGCAAATGAATCCTCAAACTGAGAAATCAAGAAAACCTACCCCATACCTGTCACCTAGTCTTTATCTTCCTCCTCTAGCAGGAGATTAGCTTTCAAAGCAGAATTAATTTGCACCCTTAACCCTTACACACAGAGCACTCTTAGTAAGTTACAGTATACAGTGTTTGTACATAAACGTAAAACCTCTTGATGAAACAAGAAAGACCTAAAACGTTGTGTTCAGTGATAAAATTCATCATATACTTAGCATTAATATGATAGTTTTTGCATATGTGTAACAAGCGGAATTAAACTAAATTCACACCCAGGCTGATAACCCATATCAGCCCTATGTGACACCATGTGGTCAGGCTGATATGGGGTTACCAGCCTGGGTGCATTTTTTGACCACCAAAATGCACAGGACTGACATAATTTTGTATTTTGCAACAGCAGATTTATTCAAGGAAAATAGATTTCGAGATCTCTGGATATGGGGGTATAGGGATGATACATGTACCTGGGGCCGGCATGGAAATGGCATGTATTAATCTATATTTCTCACTCTTACATACAACTATATAAGTACATGGACATTGTCTATTTTTAGAGAGATTTTTAGCTATGACATTTTATCAATTATCAAACATTGTACACCTGGATGTCTACTAACATAAAATGATTTGTTTGCCTTTTAAAGTAGCAATTTACGGTGATTTATAGCACGACCTTACCGTCATCAAGTTTTAAATTAGTTTTTTCGAGACTTTCAAACTTCTTTTCCAAATCATAATTAACCAACGACTCCTTATGTTGACGTACTATTTTTCATTCTTGAAAGTTAAATAATTTGATAATACTATCAAATTTAAAGTTATGTATGTCTTCTTTAAGAAATCTTTACATGAAATTTAAAACAAACCTTTCAAATATCTTTCTGAAGTTCGACAACACAATAACAAAAAGTTTAACCTAATCACACAGCGTATCCAAACTTGTAGAAAAAATCCTTTGCTTCTTCTGCGATAAAGTTATGAAATATGATTCTAATACACAATAAAACTCCAATTTACGACTCTTAATGAACTAAAAACGGTTAAAATTCCAATGTGAAGCCTTTCTTTACCCGTACGCCATGTTGGTTTCTTTCACAATGAAAACGACTGGGTGAAAGGTTAGATCAGCCATATAAGGAACTCATTTGCATACACAGATGTCGCTTTTTTGCGCACCTGTTTAAAAACTTTAAAAGAAAACTGATGTCATATGACAATACAATTTTATGCAATCTTTTATATTTATTTCAAATGCACAATTATGATTATGAGTGTTGATATGATTGATTTCTCTTTTTATCTCTGTAGTACAAATATTTTGTTATAATGACGAGGGTCTGGATGGGGTTTACAGAATAGAATATAATGGGAAAAAAATAATTAATGAATAGAGAAAAATAAGCCAAAAAAATTAAGAATATAGAGAATAATGGAGTGTAAAAGTCTAAAGAAAAACTGTGGAAAATAAATGAATAGGGTAATACAATACAGAATATCATCATGTATACTCTCATCGAAAAACTTATTGATACTTTAGTCTTAGATATATACTGTACATGATTTATGTACTAAATGTTATTGGTTTTGAATTAGTTCTCTCAGATCTGTACTTTGTGTTTTTAGTGTTTTGTTGGATTTTTTGCGTGTTTTGTATCGATTCAATCTGATGAGTTAAGACCTTTCTAACTGATTTTTATAATTTGTTCTTATATTGTGCTATTACATCACATTCCCAGTTAGGGGAGGGTTGGGCCCCCGCAAACATGTTTAACCCCGCTACATTCTGTGCCTGTCCCAAGTCAGGGGCTTGTTATTTAGTGGTTGTCGTTTGTTGCTGTATATGATATTTGTTTTTTCGGTTATTGTTTTGTACATAAATCAGGTCGTTATTTATTTTTTTTACATGTGTCATTTTAAGGCATATAGCTTAGGAGGAGTCTGGCGAACCTAAGAATTTCAGCATATCGTTTGCAAATAAAAACTGGCAGATTCCAAGGTATTTCTCCCCACCTAAGATGTTTTGTACATTGTGGCTCAGGTGATATAGAGGATGAAATTCACCTTATCCTTTACTGCACAAAATTTCACGCGTAGCTACACAATTTGTTAAATCTATATCTTAGTTATCGCAATAATTTTGCAAAAAATTCCTCCTGAAAATTCTTTTGGATAATGACCTGTGAGGACATATCCATATTAAAACATTTGAGGAACTTTATTACATATTTACTGTAGATGTTTTAATGCTTTTTATTTAATAACTAAAACAAATTTATGATGTGCTGTTATACCACTGTCCCAGGTTAGGGAGAGGGTTGAGCGCTCACAAACATGTTTAACCCCGCCACATTGTGTATGTGCCTATCCCAAGTCAGGAGCCTTTAGTTCAGTGGTTGTCGTTGGTTCATATCTGTCATATTTGTTTTTCGTTATTTGTTTTATTATTATAATTATATATATATAGGCCGTTAGTTTTCTCATTTGAATTGTTTCATATTTTTCATGTCGGGGCCTTTTATAGCCGACTATAAGGTATGGGTTTTTCTCATCGTTGAAGGCCGTACGGTTGCCTATAATTGCTTACATCCACTTTATTTGAACTTTGGTGGATAGTTGTCTCATTGGCAATCATACCTCATCTCCTTATTTTTATATTGTTAAATTCATATTTTTTTAACTGCCTGCTTGGCTGGCTTAGTCCCGGGGGAATCATATCCATACGATTCTTAAGCACCGTCCTACCAGTTAAGCAATCAAATAATATATATATACATATATAATTCGCCTAAACAACAGCCCAACAATGTTAGATCTGTAAATTTGCGGAAGCAATTTTTTTGTTCTTCCCTGGCCGGGATTCTAACTCATGCTACTGATATATCGTGGCACCAAATCGCCTTGCAGTGGCGGATCCAGAAATTTTCATAAGTGGGGCCCACTGACTGCCTTAAAGGGGGCCCGCTCCGGTCATGCTTCAGTGATTCCCTATATAATCAACCAAATTTTTCCCAGAAAAGGGGGGGGGGGGCGGGCCCTCTGGGCCCCCCTCTAAATCCGCCTCTGCCTTGCAATATGCCCGACGCTCTAGGCCACTTGACCACCTAGGCTCTATAAAAATAAAGCTTTCGGTGGCCGGGTGTTACCTTTCCTCGTCAGTTTTTATCTAGCGTCGTAACACAGTACATGATATATAAGGCATGAAGATGTTACAGATCAGCTGAATTATCTATTGAAAAGGATCATACAAATTAATGTAAGATGCAGTCACAGAAATAATTAGCTGGTTTAGAAACGGGGAAATTCGTATGAATCTTAAGCGCCGTCCCCTGGTGTCTCTTTCAGCTAAGCAATCAATTTACCAAAATGTTTGTCTACCCACGTGTCGTACTGCCACAAACATTATTACTGCAGAGTACTAAACATTTAAAATCATCTTATATTGTTTTTGTTGTTACCACATCGGTATTATACATTGTATTCTTGTACTGTATACTGTTGGTACAACCGAATTTTGATTGTATCTTTGTCATCACCCACTGTGGGACTGTAACTGGAATATACACATACTAGTATTGCAATGTGTTGTATTGTATAGCTTTGCTATGCGGTATTGGTTTTGCTCATTGTCGAAGGCCATACGTTGCCTTATGGTTGCTAACTTCTACGTCGTTTGATCTAAGGCGGAGAGTTGTCTCGTTGACAATCATACCATCTTATCTTTATATTAAACCATATTAACCATTCAAATCAAACTTTAATTTTGAACCATACTTCTTGAAATATACAAGATGGATTTTGCTATAACTATTATGACCTAATAACTAAATCTAATACTGACCAAAGAACCATGAATTTAGGACAAGGTCAGAGTAACCCTGTCAGACGGGTGCTAATTCTACTATACATTGAATGAAGTCATTTATCCGCAAAAACAGACTGTATCACGAAAACTTTGGCAATGAACCACGAATTGAAATCAAAGTCAAGTGAACCCTGTTTTACGGACATGTGTACATTACGATAAATCTGTACACCAAATATACACAATGTATTAACATCACTAGGTCTCGAATTCTGTGCATTTCGTTTCGGGCGAAACGAAAACCCTATATAGATAAAAACAAAACCGAAACAAGCAAAAAACAAGGAATGAGCTGTCAAAATGACAGCAAACTGGGTTTTCTGTATTTTAAAAGGCGCTTTTAGGCTTTTTGTGACCTGCAACGTTATATGCCTATTTTCAAATCTATGAAGGACCATAACTCCTTAATAACAAGATGAAAATCGTCATTATCGAACTTGATCACTATTTTATCATCTGGAACAGCAAAATATTTTTTCTATCATTGGTTGAAGGGTTCATAATTAAGTAATTGCACGGAAACGTGCCATTTTTCAATTTATCAAGAACCATAACTCCTAAACGGCAAAAGTGAAAATCATCAATATCGAACTTGACCTCCATTTTTTCATCAGTAACACCATATTAAAATTTTAAAAGCATTGGTTGAATCGTTCGTAAAATGTCATAAAAGAAAACTATTGACGAGGTACCTGACTATAGCATGTATAGTGACACGTACATGAATATATGGCGGAATTTCACACCACAACATCCCCCTTCTTTTAAATCTCGACCAGTGGGCTTACAAAAAGTATACATAAAATGACATTCAATAACTGGTATACACATGCACCAGGGTTATTGAAATTTTCCTATTTTTAACCCATGACATCATTGATGCATTTTTTTCTGTATTAGATAGAAATGTAGACATCTCTTACATCAATTGTGTCAAACATGGTTCGATTTCCTATAACCTTAGTAAAAGTAAACATATAAAGTAAATACTTATTACCAAAAACATCGGAGCTTAGTTGACTGATGGACAAGCTTACATACGTATCAACCTCTGCAGAAGGAAGATAAGCTGTTATAGCTATTTCTGAACTATGGTAATGAAAGAAATCAGTTCCCAGAGTTGTGCGTGTGTGTATATGTCAGAAGTCTGTTTATTTTAAAGAGAGAGAGAGAGAGAGAGAGAGAGAGAGAGAGAGAGATATTTTAAAACACAGTAATCACTGTAAAAGTTAATTGTTACAATTTTGCATTTTGTTTAAAGAATTATTAATTTCAACACTGCATGCAGGTAGGAACATACGACACATGAAATGGAATTATGAACCAACATAAATGTGCGAATCCTCGAAGGAATACGCGTGTTGCTTGCTGTTTCAAAGTATTGATTTGGATACTCGCATAGCCCCCTGGAAAACACAATACATAATGCATCACCCAAGCACTTATCTTTATTGCATTCAAATTAAAGCTTAAAGACATCAAGTCTACTAAACATATAGTAAAGATGGTGTGCCTGATTGGTAATATTTCATTAAACAGTTAACGAGATGAATTGTTGACATAGCTAACGTATTATCAAGTAATACTGCGTGTCAAATGAGCCGAATATATTGATAACCTTTTACTCGAACGTGCTAATGCGCGTGCCGTTCTCTCATCATAGTTTTATCTCCAGGCTGATCGACTCCAGTAAGCAGAATAAAAACTAGTTTTGATTTCAATTACAATTTCATTCTCATGATAGCGATAACTATGTGAATCATCAATCTGTAAACCTGCTACGAAGATAAATGCAGTTTTAGTCTATTTGATAATTACCGTTGTGAAATAATAACCAACCTATATAGTGTTATATCTTTGCTTTAACAATATATGAAAATCTGTACTCAATAAATGTGTGATGAGGGAAAACAGGTGTAATATATACCAAGGGACAATCTAGTAAGCTTTGAAACGTGTGAACTGGGCGGAGGGCAAAGGGTGGATATATTTCTTGCAAATAAGGGAGCTACCATTTGATTTTTATGGGGGGGCTAGGATGAAAAATTTTGTCCTGCATTTTTTTTAAATTGTAATCTCTGTCCTGCCTTTTTATTTTTCACTCTGTTCGGTCCTGCCTTTTTTTTAAAGTTTATCCTGACTTTTTTACCTAAATTGTCATCCTGACTTTTTTATTTTGCAAGTGTCTCACTCATCCTGCCTTTTTTTTTACTCAAAACTCCTG